TGATACGGATATGATAGCGCGCCTTTGGGTTTCACTGTTCTGGGCTGATACCCGTACATCTTGACCTATACATGATAAACATCTTACAGCAAAGCTGAATATGACGGTGCTATGGCGCAATACATTCGTACGATCGGAAAACTGGAACCGTCATACGTCATTCGAAAGGTGGGCTGTATTCCGCTATTGACATTGTCATTTCTTTAAACCGAATGGGCCTTACTTGCTTGTTCAATTGGCTACCACCTGATTTTGAAATGGCTGACGATATAGTATCAATCATATTGCGACGAAAAGCTACGACTCGAATTTATATATTCAATGTGCTTTGCTACTTTGGCTGTTTTTCTATTAGTTTTTGGACGCACAGCGTATATACAATTTGACCTCATATCTTCAAGAGCTGCATTCTCGGAGTCTTGCCAACGCGGACCACACCACCTTACTACTCAATTGTTACACAAAACTCAAGGATGTGGCAAGGTTGGATCAATTCATTAAGGTACCTGATCGCTATTACTATATACGTTTGCATGTCCTTTCTTTGTCCAAATCGTACATGGTAACCTATTCTGATGTGATCTTTCAGACCGATACTGAGTTGACCTTCGACTTGGAAACTGCGATCAAAGTTTGTCGTCAGGCTGGATACTACGATCATGCAGTGTATTTAGCGGAGAAGTTTGAAGAGCATGACTTGTGAGTTCTATAATTAATTTCTTTCTCTTGGTCAATTTTACCGTATACATACTCTAGCACCAAATACATATAATTATATAATTTTGTTAGATACCTGAACATCATGATCGAGAATGTGGAGAACTATGAAAACGCTGTTCACTATCTTCGTCAACTTGGCCCTGTCGAGGTAAATATAGTGTAGTTATTTAAATAAGTTGCGTCATTGAAGTTTTTTTTTTTTTTTTTGACCGAACAAATTTAATCCATTTCCACTACATGTCTCAGGCGAAAGGAAATCTACAAAAATACGGCAAAACTCTCATTGCTCATTTACCAACCCAAACAACACAACTCCTCATCGATCTTTGTACCGGCTCGCTAGCCCTTGCAACCGGACGAGTGGGTTCTTCACAAACATCAGCATCTGGTCTCCAGCCCTTGTCAACAATGCGCCCCTACACTTCTCCCTCAACGCAGATAGCTCCCGCGTCACCGCAAATGTCTTCGCGCCCGGTCGTGGGAACTTCGCGTCAAACCATACAGCAAGCTCAAACGCAAAAGCAAAGTACGTCAGGCAAGGATAAAGGCGGCTCGAAGGATCACGTGGCTTACGCTCCACCTTCCCCACGGATGTTCATGTCCCTGTTTGTTGACCGGCCGGACTGTTTGATAACGTTCCTTGAGCAAGTGTTTGATCGGCGGTGGGGCAGCGGCGCCTTGGCCGCCACCACCAGCAGCAGTGCATCCATAAAGGGCGGTACGGATGCGACCTCCACGAAGAGTGGCTCTGTCAGACCGACTAGCGAGTCTTCCAAGGCGCGGAGCGAGGACGGCGTCCCCGAGCTAGGAGACGATGATCTGGAGGAACGCAAGTCAATATGGAATACCTTACTCGAGCTTTATCTCTTAGACGAGAAGCCCTTAAACTTGTTTTCGTCTGGCTCCCCACCTAGTCCAGTGCTTTCAACAGCCACTTCTACTGGTGCTGCCTCGGACCGTGAGCTTATCAAACGACGGAAAGAGTTTAAGGCAAAAGCGTTAAGTCTCTTGAAGGATCCGAGTGTGCCGTACGACACAAATCAAGCGTTGGTGCTTTGCCACCTGAAACAATTTGATGAAGGGATCGTGTATCTTTATGGGCGAATGGAAATGTATCGAGACATTGTCAGGTTTTGGATGGAGAAGGATGAAACTGATAGGGTTATTGAAGCCGTGAGAAAATATGGGTAAGTGCTATCTTCAGTGGTTAATTTTATTTTATTTTATTTTTGAAGTCTATTGTTGAGTAAGAATGGTTTGTGGATGGGAAGGTGATTGATATCAAGTGTCAACGTGCTATCAATGGCTATGCGGGGCAATGTTACCTGGCTTATGTACTAATTGCGAAAGCATCTGCTCCCTTTACATGATCGAATATACCATCATTTTATATCAGCCCACAAGATCCGGACCTGTATCCGTTTGTCCTTACGTATTTCTCATCCACCCCTGAGACGTTAGCCAAATCCAATGAGGAGTTGTTGCAGGTGCTCAATCATATCGACTCGGCCGACCTACTACCACCTTTGCAGGTCATTCAGGCCTTGAGCCGGAATTCCGTGGCAACAATTGGCTTGCTCAAGAAGTACATGGAGAAGAAGATTAATAGCGAATGGCGGGAGGTCGAAGAGGTAAATAAGTTTAACTATTAGACATAACTCTCAAGCGTCTATCCTTTTGTCTCCTTACCATTCACTCAGGGAAATAAAAGAAAAAATAGAAATGGGGAGAAGTACTCGGCGAAGAATCTCGATTATACTCCCAACATATTAATCTCGTGTTTTTTTGCTTTTTGTTTTGCCCTTGAATCGATTTAGGACCGGAAGTTTATCCAGAGTTATCGCGAAGAGACGGAGAAAAAGAGGCGAGAAATCGAGGAATTGAAAACGAGGTAAACTTTACGGCACGATCCAGCGATTAATGTGGTTTATTAAAAATACATATACGAAAAGCTGTTTGCGACGCACTTCACTAACATATGTCATGTTACTTATACTTTTCCGCTCCGTTTGTATCATTGGTATATTTACAGCGCAAGAGTTTTCCAAGTCACAAAATGTTCTCAATGCGGTGGCTCACTTAACCTTCCTACGGTTCATTTTCTTTGCCGACACTCGTATCATCAGAGGTCTGTTTTTTTTTTTTTTTTTTTTTTTTCCTTAAAAAAAATTCTTTGGGTCTTGTATTTTTGTCATCGATATCCCCTGCTTTTAGGAAACGGCGACAAGTGGTTTGTGGTTTCTAATCACCATCACATTCTTTTCGATAGATGTTTACCTGAATCTGATCTCGAATGCCCACGATGTGCAATCGAACATCGCACGATTAATGAGATTCGACGAACGCAGGAAGCGAACGCTGACCGGCATGATCTGTTTTTTGCACAGGTGAACTTGCATTTCAGTTTTTACTTCCCTAATGTAGTGCGAGGTACAATAGCTAATCTACTTCGTTTATCATCAATGTCTTATGCTATCAGATTGAGGACGCAGAGGATGGCTTTGCTGTAGTTGCCGATTACTTTTCGAAGAATACGATGGCTTTCGCGAAGCTCATTGATTGATGTATCTCTACCTTCGGAATCCTGCGTTCCTGTTCTCCAATGTCTTTGATATATAGCACAAGCATTGTGTTTCTCTTTTCTTTTGTAATGCTGATGTTCTTGTAAAATATCAATAAAATATCATGTTTGTTTAATCTTGCTATGACCAGGACTGCGTTGTTATAAGCTGTATGCAATAATATCAGCTACGCACATCCATTTATAATGTTTGCAATGCACACTACATGTATGAAATATAAAAACGATTATAGTCTTTTCGCGTTGGAACATTAGTGATGCTCCTAATATCACTCAAATACTACAAGAGGAGCTCGAAGCCCATGGCGCCATTCTCAATTCTCTGGCTGTGGGAAATTTCCCTGAAGGTCGCGGTGTTCAAACCTTAAAACCTTACAGCGTCATAACGCCAGAGACACGATACTTGCCATTCCGAGTAGGCTCTTGTGCGCTCAAGAGCAAACACTGGTGATTTTTATTCTATTTGTCAAGTTGCACGACAATGGTGAGTGGAGGAAATTACACACGGACACTCTTCCAGAACGATACAATGCTTCTATTAACTACACAAATGACGAAGTCGCGGGTCATCTCCATATATCCTCACCAAGATGCTGAAAATGCAGATTATGAGGGGATTGTCGAGTGACTGTTTGTCGAAAATGCAGAAATATAATTATATACAAAAACACATTATTCAAAAACATACCTCTTCGAATGTGAATACATGAAGCAGAAATAAATCTGCCTATATCTAATATCGTGTATGCAGTACACCTGGGCAGTCTGCACAGTTTTGGAGCCAGGCCATGGTATTCCTCTGCTGGAGAGCGATCTTTGGGTCATGGCTCCATTCGCAGACTTTTTAACCATTCGACTGTTATCGACGTTTACCATACGTATGATCAATCAAATTACAGACACCTTGCATTTCATGGCAGGCAGTGATTTTGAAGAAGGAGATCAAGTATGTATTTTGTTCAGAAAAATCCACAAGTCTTTAAGCTACATATCTAACTTTATCACAGGTGTTCATTAATTATGGTCCGATCAAAAATAGTCGCCTCGCGTGGCTATGGTTCACTCTACCCAATAATCCCAACAACTCGTATGACCTCATTCTAACCACACATTCACTGGCTGCTGTTGGCCTCAATATCACATCCACCATCCCTCTCACCCTCATGGACCCATTCTTAGACAAAGTGCTACAATATCTCTGTATCCAGCATCTTACAGATACAGAACTCAGGATGATAGCCAATAACACTGATACGGCCCAGCCTGTCACTGCACGCAATAAGAGTGAGGTTATTGATGATGCTTTTACATCTCTATTGGAGGGGTTTCCCGTCTCAGCCAATAAATTACAGTGGCAAATTGATCAGGTATGTGTATATGGTGGGTGTGAATCATGGGTAGTAGCATTGGTCAGTATAGAAGAACAGCAAGTGTTAGAGGCTTCATTAGCATAGGTGATCGGTGGTGAAAGACGTGTGTGTTTGTTTTTTAGGTTATTAGTAGATCGCGTGACGTAGTCTTGGAAACACGTGAGACCATGTCATATGACCTGCATACAAATGAATAAAAAAATACGAAATCTGTTTTCCGAAAATTCCGAAAATAAAAAATAAAAGAAAAATATATTGCCTTTTTTATTCTAAACGTTCTGCTAGTAGACAATTTTCCCACAACTTAGTTCTACTAAATAAAAAACACATACCCCTTGCGAGGGTCGAACTCGCAACCTCCAGATTAGAAGTCTGGTGCTCTATCCAATTGCGCTAAAGGGGCGAGCTGTCTTATCTTATCGGTCCTTGAAATTTAATTATTATATAAAGCTAGACCGCTTCACGCTCTAGCAACCAACAGTGCGTCGCATTTACGCTCAATCCAACATATGTGCACTGAAAATCAATCTGCTTTTAATGGTGATTTTTGGAGTTGGTTTCACGATGCTATCTGTGCTGTACTGGCAGCAAGAGCAAATTATTTTAGTTTTAGCAAGAACGTTGGCCTTTCCACTTTTAAAATATTAAAAATCGGCTATATTATTTTCTATAACTTCGGGAACCTATTTAGTTGCCATGCAGCAATCATATAAGTCTAGCAACAGTATTGCTCTGCCCGCCCCAATATACAGCTCTAAAACAAGCACAAAATACACTCCCATACATCACTGGTTTTGTTCAAACCACGTTCTCGCCATATCATGTACAAAATCTCCGACCTCCTCTACTTGTATATCCTGCTTCAGATTCTTCCCACTCCGCCTCTCCTGCAACTCTATAACTCCCTCTTCTACCGCCCTATTCCCCACCACAACCACATAGGGGTACCCAACCAGCTCTGCGTCCTTCATCCTAAACCCAAACGACGCGCGGCGATCGTCGATCACTACGTCATCATGCAGAAACCTCTTGCCCCCCTCAGATCCTGCCCCATCCAACGCGTCGTACACCTGTACTGCAATCTCGCTAATCTTACCGCCCCGATCGTCGGCAGGTACGACCGCGACGCGAAATGGCGCCACGGACACAGGCCAGATTATCCCGCGGTCGTCGTGCGAGGACTCGACGACTGCAGCGAGCATACGTGAGATTCCGAGGCCGAAGCAACCCATCTGGATCGGGAGGAGGCCGGCGGCAGCGTCGACGGGATGGTAGAGCGCACCCAAGGCTCCCGAGTATTTGATGCCAAGGAGGAAGGTATGACCAACTTCGATGGCGCGATGAAGAGTCAAAGGGGTCGAACACTGCGGGCAGATATCGCCCGGTTGGGTATTGTGAAAGTCGCCGTGATGAAACGATGAGATAGTAGAATGGCTGAGCTGATCGATGACTGTAGATAATAGTGTGGGTTGAGAGGCGGGAGTGGAAGACACAGATGACGGATCGGTTGTGATAGAGTTGGCGGATTCGTCCACGCACACCGATAGCCCTGCCCACAACATCCCGTCCTTCCTCGTCGCCTCCAGCACTTGCTCAGGCGTGACTAAATTCACGTCGATCTCGTCTTTTGCTTGTTCACCTAGCCGAAGTTTCATCGCGTCCCTAAGCTTTAACAAATTCATCATCCTTCCCCTCTCCAGGACTACGGCGACAAGATCCGGCGCGGCTTTCGCCTTGTCAGAGTCTCTTACCACACGATTAACTGTGGCAAATTGAATCGTAAGTGCATCGATTGGAAGAGAATGCGAACGGATAAGTTGGGATAAAAGAGCTCTGTTGGGGTCAGCGACGGATCCGGATTGATGAGGATGGGGAGGAATGGTGCCCCGAGCGCGTTCTTCATTGGCAGTGTAGCCACATTCCGGGCATACAAGAAGAGAGTCTTCGCCGACTGCATGTTAAAGAGTCTTAGTTGACGTTCGTTGATTTGCATCTCCCAAAAAAAAATTAATATAGTTAGATTGTTAAAAAGTGGGACATATACCTTGAGAAGTGAAATGATATTCATGCGACTTTGTCCCTCCGATATTGCCGGTATCCGCATCCGCCTGGATCAAAGGTCAGCCAAACACGCTCAAGTAATCAATTCAATTTCTTCCGGCTCAGTCAATCAATCAATGGCCCGCTTCACAATCCCGGCAAACTTACCACCGCAAACGGAACGCCAATCCTTTTAAATATCCTCGTATACGCCCTCCTCACATCCTCGTACGTGCTTGCCGCTTCCTCCTCCGTCGCATCAAACGTGTACAAGTCTTTCATCACAAACTCTCGCCCGCGGAGGAGACCTGACCGCGGACGCATCTCGTCGCGGTATTTACGGCCTATGTGACATGGTGTGGTTGCAATCAATGAAAGAAAACAAGGATAAAGTAATGGTACAAGTCAAAGAAAACACTATACCGATTTGGTAGAGACGCAAGGGGAGTTGGCGATGTGAGGTCACTTCGTTGGCGACGAGCTGGGTGATTTCCTCCTCGTGCGTGGGGGCCAGGAGAAAGTCGGCATGTTTACGGTCTTTGAGGCGGAAGAGCTGGCGATAAGAGGAGAGAAATGAGAGAATGTGGTTGGCCTCTAATCGTATCTGTCTGATGTTGGGCTGGCGAATTTGACAAATTCATATTATATCAACCTCGCCACCCGAGGATTCCCAACGACCAGTCTGCTTCCAAGCCTCGGAGGAAAGGAGTATCGGTAGAGAGAGTTTCTGCGCATCTGATAGTGGTTGGTTTCAAACAGTGCAGAAATATAATTCAGCATTCACTAAAGAAATGTATCATTAATCTCAGAAATCAGCACCACCTACCAATAGCCCTCATTTCCTCTTCAATGATCCTCTCCAGCTTTTCAAGAGTCCTTAATGCAAACGGTAGGAGGCTGTATACACCAGAGGCGGACTAGAGTCGGTTGAGATAATAAAGTCGCCGAATATTAGCAGGGAAGGTGTGGATTGGTAAAAGTTGCGATGAATAATCAGAAAGCTAATCCACCTGACGAATGAATCCGGCACGCAACATTAGCTGATGACTTGCCACGCTGTTGAGGTTAGAGCTCAAAAAATTCTCTTTCGATGTGGGGACAAACATCTTGGAGAGCCGGTTTCTAGGCTAAAGAAATGATAATTTTTGAGTAAGGATGCTTGCAAGAATGGATCAAATTGATACGAAAACCGGACATACGGTGGTGGAATAAAACCTATATTGCATCCCCGGCCGAAAAGAAATAGTCGAGAGATGCCTCGCGGAGTTATATGTACGGATCGGACGAGATGGCCACGACTTGTTACGCCCCCTCTGTTCCTGGCCCTCGCTTTCCTCCTTCGCACCACGCTCACCAGATCTACCAATCTGCTCGCGTTCACCGGCCGTGGCCTTGCGATAACCGTCTTCGTTGTCCCGGCCCCAGCGATTGAAGTTCTTTATTTCGCCTCCGCCTCTGTCGTATCGATCCCCCGCTTCGTTCCCATACTTTTCGCGGCGCTCGCTCCTACGATCGCCAAACCCAGCTCCCTGTTCGCGTTCGCTGTTGGTGTCTCTCCGAAACCGGTCTTCTCCGCGATCACCGAATCCGTCTCGATCCTTGCGGGTTCCTTCTCTAATCTCACGACTACTGTATGCAGGTCTCTGCTCTTGATTCTCCCCATACTCTCTCCGATGGCCCTCCATCCTATCAGAATTACCACTCTGGTCTCGATTCCTCTCGCCCTCCATTTCACTACGATTTTCTTTGCCTTCACTTTGATAACCTTTCCTCACACCTTGTTCAGCGAATGCTGCTCCACGTTCACGATACCCGTCGCGGTCGCCGTATACAGATCTACGATTGTCTTTGCCCTCCCTCTGATATTTACCCTCGCGATTCCTGGGATACGAAGTCGCCATAGACATAACTTTCTTACCTTTCTCTTCCGCCTCCTTCTGCGCCTTCAGCCTCGTCTCCCTAAACCTCGCAGCAATCTCCTCCGCATTCTTCAACCCGACTTCCAGCTTTTTCTTATCCTCCATCTCCCCTCCTGGCCCTCTCAATGCTACTTTATACGCCTTCACCACGCTCGCCACAAGTTTTTCCTTACATTCCTCTTCAAGTTCCTCCTCCCTTCTTCCCTCCGCCGTCGTCCGTGTCTTTTTTCCCACTATCACCTGCCTTCCCCACCCATGCTCCTCCACGAACTCTAGTGCCCGCTTCAGTATCCCTCTGTCGATCTCGATCCCGGCCCCTGCCGTCTCGCCCGCGCACTCCATCACGTCCATCATCGTCTCGACCTTCATCCCGTACTCCTTCGGATTGGCTTGCCTTTGCCTCTCTCTATATAGATCTACTAGCACCGCCTCCGTCCACTCCCACCCTGCACGCTTATCTGCTGTCTTCTTTGCGCCCTCCAAGCACGCACGCAACGCTGCTTCATACGTATGTACATCCGGTCTGAGCCCGCGCGCACGTGCCGTAAACAGTGTGCGTGCCGCACGCTCATGTTGTCCGGCTATGGACTGAATCGAGATCAACGAATTGAAGAGCTTAATGTCTGGCACGAACCTAGGGAAGCGGGAGAGGGTGAGATCGAAGTACTGCGCGCCAAGGTTATAGCGGCGCGTGCGGAAGCAGAGTGAGAGAATAATGTCAAGGGTCCTGGAGCTCATAGGCGGAGGGGGATGGGGGAGTGTAAACTTCCCTATAGTGGTAGTAGGGGTGGAGAGTAGGGAAGGGTGGAGGTCGTAGACAGCGGAGACGATGTCAAAGCCTGCCCCAACCTCGGTGGGATTTCGGGCAGACTTACACACGAAGAGCATGGCATTGACGAGATTTTCATCGACCACGAGGGGTGCGCGTGGCAGCGGAGCATTGGAGTCACTTTTTGCAAATCCCCATTTCAGATCCACTGCCATAGACTTTTTCTCGAGATTCGACCCTAGGTGCTCCTTCCGTACAGCGTTGATCGCCTCCTCCCATATGCGCTGTGCTTCAAAGAATGCCGCATCTCCACCCTTGTACGCACACGTGTTTAGCATGGTCGTATAAGTGATTTTATCGGGGCGCGCGTTGCCAGTGCGGGGCATAGATTCGTAAACGCGTAACGCCTGGGAGAAGGCCCCGGCGCGACTGAAGACTTTAAGGACGGCGTTAGTGTGGAAGAGGGAGGGAGGCGAAGTAGAAGATTGGAGAGAAGCATAGATGTCGGTGGCGCGGATGATGGTATCAGGGGAGGAGGTGTTGATGGCAAGAGCATTGAGAAGGTGGGTGTAAGTGCGGTCAGTGGGCTTGAAGCCGCGGCGTTTCATCTAGTACGGGTATGGTATCGGTGAGATATTAAGCCGGAATCATAAGCAATTGCGAGTGGCAAGTTGC